TTATTTCAATATCCTATTCGACAAGTCTGAAGAACAACGATGACTAAAATTCAAATGTTTATTTCCCTAAACCTTCAAAATAATTTCGAAATACTTTATTCGAATCGGAGTATTCCAAGTCAGTATCGCTAATTGAAGAAATTATTTGATTGTATTTAAAAGAACCGAAAGGAGAATATTTAAAGTCTGATATTAAATGTCTAGCAAGTACCAGTAATTGGTAAAATGATTTATATTTGTTTTAAAAGGAAAATTTCTAATAGGTATTAGTTAAAATGAATTGTTATTCAGTCTACTGTATTGAAATTCTAATTGATTCTAATGTATACAAGTGTTACAAGAAGGCTGAGTGTGTACAGGGTGGACACTGACTCTAGTATTTACTAAAATTCAAAAATTCTCGCATAAATTCCGAAAATAGATTATTAATTACGGTAAACTACTGAGACGGTTTAATTAAGGGTGGGCATAGTGCACGAGTATAGTGCACTCGTTCCAAATCAGCTCACAATATACAGTTCAATAATAAAATAACTAACTACTTAATCATGCAAAATTCATGCAAATTCCATGGATAGCTGTAAATTATTAGTACACGAAATAACAAATCATCAAATAAATTCAACATGAGAGAAAATATCAGAGAAAATGTCAGAAAAATAAAAGAAATTCGAAAAATTTCAAATTAATTTCAATAGCTGAAAGAAAAGTACGTATTATCGATTATTAACCTGTAACAAACAAAGTATTTAATTAATGGATATCTGAAACGCCGAAATTTTCATTAGTAAACATCTCAAATTCGTTTCGATATCCTATTCGACAAGTACGAAGAACAACAATAACAAACTGAAATCTCGATTTCCCTAAACCCTCAAAACAATCTCGAAATACGTTCGATAATAATTTTCTCGCGTGTATTAACGACCCGAAGGATTATTTAAATTTATTTCAAGCAAAAAGTAGCAGTAGTTCAGTAGTAAATAGTGGACTATTAGACTTTGAATAGTCCAAGTTTAAGTTTTAATAATTAGAAAAATTAGAAAAATTCAAAGCAGAGTATTCAAAGTCTAATAGTAAATTTCAGAAAGAAATTTTGAGAGAAGGTAGTTGAGTGTGTATAGGGTGGACATAGGCTGCTAGCCAGTAGCCCTCGACCACCCTACTCACGTCTCAGTACCCTCAGGTCAAAATTACGCGAAGTGTCTAGGGCCCAGTATAAAGGGTGAATGATTTCGCGGAGCCTCCGCGGGTCTATTTATACCTGCGGTACCCCTTCCCCAAAATCATTAGCAAAGTCGTTAATAATTCAGCGAAGTCGTTAATAATTCGGGCGGGAATCGACTACTTTGCGCGGGAAACGGACTACTTTGCGCGGGAAATCGATAATTTCTCGCGGGAATCGGTCACTTTTCGCGGGAAATCGATAATTTCTCGCGGGAATCAATTATTTTTCGCAGAAAATCGCCGATTCTTTCGTAATTCTATTTTGATTTCTATTGTAATGTTATAATAACGTATAATTTATTAATTCTCACAATTTTTTGGTATAAATTTATACTTCTAACAATTTGTTATAACATTGCATATAACAATTTATACGTTTTTACAATATTCTTCAGTGGAAACATACGTTTTAATGTTCTCACTACTTACTCGTGGTTAAATGAATTTCTTCAGGATTAGAAATCAGGTTGACCTGTGGTCATAGATTAAAAATAGCTGTAGTAAAGTTAAACTTATTGTTTTAAATAATTCCTTTTATAGGAATGAAAAATTTATTCAACGTTTGTTTGTTATAATATCGTGAAATAAATTATTTGTGCAGTTCTGTGCATTTTCTGTGCAGTTCAACACTGAATTTAAAGATTATAACGATTAAAAATCAAGTTGACCTGTGGTCATTTATCAAGAATAATCATAATAAAGCTGAAATTATTGTGTTAAGTAATTTTTTTAATACGAATTTGGAATTTATTCAACGTTTGCTTGTTACTACTTGTTACAGTATACTGTCTCGCAATGTAAATTTAAGTAAATTAGGTTGAACTGCACAGAAAATGCACAGAACTGCACAAATAATTCATTTCACGATATTATAACAGACAAACGTTGAATACATTTTTGATTCGTGTAAGAAGAATTATTTAACATGATAAATTTAGCTGTACTAGGGTTATTTTTAATTTACGACCACAGGTCAACCTGATTTTTAATCCCTACGAAATTAATTTAACCACCAGTAAGTAACGAGAACGCTAAAACCTATGTTTCCATTGAAGAATATTGTAAAAACGTATAAATTGTTATATGCAATGTTATAACAAATTGTCGGAAGTATAAATTTATAACAAAATTGTGAAAATTGATAAATTATACCGTGTTACGATAACAGAAATCTCCCGCGAAAATCTCCCGCGAAAATTTCCCGCCTGACCTAACCGACGATTTTGCTAATGACTTTGGGGAGAGGGTACCGCAGGTATATAAGGACCC